TACTTTTTTACAATGTATAATTTTATGCAATTATGTTTACTAATTTCTACTTATCCACTTTTGCCCAATATTATCCACCCTGAGGTTGTATATATGTATACATATAAGCTCATTTTATGATTTTTTTTTTTTATGGGTATTATTAAGGCATATTTCTTATTGTTTCCCTCTTATATTTTAATGCAGATTCCATTTTCTAATTTCCTTTTTAACAAAATCTTATATATTACTTGCACTTTATGTAACCTTTTATTTCATTTAAACTTTTTCTTATGTGCCCAGAAACTACATTTCCCATGATACCCGCGGCTCCGGTCACGTGACCCGCGGATAGTAGTGTTATGTGACGCCGCGGGTCACGTGACGCAGCCTGACCCCGCCCTGCCATCCGTGCGTGCTGCCTTCTCTATGCAACGGCCGCACGGACTGGCTGCATACCTGTAAATAGCATGCGGTCATGTGGCCCAGGCACTACAGCCCCCAGAGTGCACTGCGGGTCACGTGACACGCACGAATTACTTATTTTAAGTTTAAATAAATTTTACTCTACACAACCTTCGTTTTTACATTATATTTACACAAATACCATTGTATGTCTGAATATATTAATGCTGTATATTATTTTTTATCTTTTGCTTAGTGTATTCTCTATTTATATTTTGTACAGCCCTGATTGGTGATCGTTTTTTTGGCGCCAATTTTGAATGTAATTATGAGCTATATATACCCCTTATGTGCCAGGTAGTAATAATATTCCAATTTGATAAAGCCATTGTGGCGAAACGCGTTATTGGTTTTAATATATTGTATTAATAAATCATTTTACATATATTACCCTTTTATACTATTTAATCCTTATTTACCGTTCCTGGCATATCCTAAGGTGGGGATCATACCACCCACGCGAGTAATAGAGTGCAGAAAGGCCTGCACTCTACTTGTGAGTATATTTTATTTATTTTAACTCCTTTGCTAACTACCTCACCAGAGAGCACTATTGGCTGTTTTTATTTCTTTTCCTTTGAGAATTGGATACCAGCACTCTCCAGGAGGACAAGCACCCCTACAAGCGGAGGGTTATCCGCTGTATGCCCGTTATACTAGAGCTGGTCTTAGCTCATGGAAATGTGAGTGTGGAATTTATATTTTAATTTCACGATTACTTATCTATACACTCTGCACGACTGGTTCTTTCCCATTGTGTCTTTCATATCGTGAGATGGACGACTCTTAACAGAGAAGACACTACACCAGTTGAGACAACATCTAAAGATAAAATTGAGACTCTTTCATATTACATTTTGTAATCACATATAATTTTATTTGTGTAATACTAACTTATCCCTCTTGGCGCAGCCTTTCCTTTGTTCTTATATGTATATACATAATTAATATACCCATATAAAACATATATTTCCCTACTTTATTAATACTCCGCAAGGGAATATACCTTGGACCCCTTGCTCACAGTGCCTAGAGAGATATCAGCTATGCCTCACTGATGATGCCTAACAAGGCTGAAACGATCGTTTGGGGTTGCTGTATCTCTCGTGCAGAGAGAACTTGCTGGCATTTCGCATCTGGACTGCCCATATGGGTGGGACCAGTCTGATATGCTTCAGATATGTTCTCTCTGTAATGGCACAAGATGAGCTAAAACCAGCTTGAGTTCTGAGCGGGGACCCACCGAAGGGCAGGCTATTTTAGCTGTTGTCCGTTCTCAGAATACTCTTGTGACCCGTTTTTGTTCTCCATTAATCTGCTAAATAGTACATTTTGGGGCCTGTTCTTCATATCTGAGAGTCAAACAGAAGCGTCAAATAGTGTGCTTACTGTGCAGTGGTAAACATTCTAATTGTTTTGCTGCTACTCTGCTAAATAGTACATTTTGGGGCCTGTTCTTCATATGTGAGAGTCAAATCAAAGTGTCTAATAGTGTGCTTACTGTGCAGTGGTAAACATTCTAATTGTTTTGCTGCTAATCTGCTGCTTACTTTGGAGTTTTAAAAAGTCATTTTTTTTTTGCGCTAAATAGTATATTTGGGGAGTTCACTTCATATCTGAGAGTCAAATCGAAGCGTAACTTTGATTCGAATTTACTACATCGGTCACTTGTAATATTGTTTCACACCTACAACACTTGTTACACAGATCTAAGCGATAGAAAACAGATTGATATTTTCTACACTAGAAACTACCAGATAACAAGCTGCTATATTTAAACCAGTGATCAATAGCTAAGAGTTACTTCAACAATTTTGTAATTCTGGGGCAATACCCTCACAAACTGAGAGGTCAGTTTATAGGGAAAACTGTTGCCTGGATACAATTCTAAAACAATTTCCATATGTCCTTTGCAGACTTTACATGCTGGAAAAAACACAGGTGCCAACTGATGTGGCTTTCTGCAGTGTGCATTCCGGCAAGGAGGGCAGGGTTGAGGAGTGGGTGGAAGATGATGTGGAGGATGATGAGGTCCTAGTCCCCACATGGAATCAAGGTCATGCGAGTGACGTGTGCAGTTTGGAGGAAGAGGCGCCAGCACAGCATAAGAGGGAGCAGGGTGCAAAAGTGGAGCGGCCGTCCCCTAGCACTCTTTGACATGTATTAGCTCGAGAATTACCAGTTATGCAAGTAATACATGTAGCGATCAAAGGATCCATAACAGACTTGAGCGCGGGTTCGTACCAGATTTAACCATCCATTCGTAGTTTCATAGTGAGGTGGGCAGTCCGGTGACCAGGACCCAGACACAGTCTGGGTGGTGGTCGGATGACCGGGACCCAGTATGCCTGATGTTGAAGTTAGGAGTCAGTGTGGAATGGATTAGCAGGGTCTGGTGCAGGGTAGCTGCACGCCCCCTGGTGTCGAGCACCAGCGTTTGTGCGGCCACATACCAGGACCCTGATGCAGCTTCAGTAAAATGAGTACTCAGGCCCAGACTGGCCATCGCCGCGGTGGCCGTGGGCCGAGGCCGGCAGGGAGATCACAAGATCTCCCTGCCGGTCTTTGCAGGGCAGGTACTATCCGAGCGCCGGCCCTGCAGTAGACTACAGTGGGCCGGTGGGGAGATCAGATTTCTCCCTCACCGGCTCACATAGAGTATACTGCTGCCGGCGGCGGGTAAGGAGGGAGGGAGCCAGCCTGCCAGCAGAGGAACCCGGCAGAGCTTTAACTTACAGCTTCGCCAGGTTCCTCTCGCGAGATTCGGAGCGTTGCCACGGCAACGCTCCGGGTCTCGTGAGAATGAACTCTAGCCTCACAGGCTAGAGTTCACTCACCACTAGGACCACCAGGGATGGATGGCAGCCCCAGCAGCAGGATCCCCCCTCCCAGGCATAAGGTAAGCAGGGAGGGGGGCAAATAATCACTCAGGTATAATCACAGCAGCCTCACTCACAGATACCCTGCACCCCTAACACTCACAGCACACACACAAACACTCACAGCACCCTAACACACTACACCCCTAACACTCACAGCACACACACTGCACCCCTAACACTCAAAGCACACACACTGCACCCCTAACACTCGCAGCACCCTCACACACACACACACACACTGCACCCCTAACACTCGCAGCACACACACTGCACCCCTGACACTCACACACACACTGCACCCCTGACACGCACAGCACACACACTGCACCCCTGACACTCACAGCACACACACACACACACTGCTCCACTGACACTCACAGCACACACAAAATGCACCCCTAACATTCACAGCACCCTCACATACACACTGCACCCCTGACACGCACAGCACACACACTGCAACCCCTGACACTCACAGCACCCTCACACACCACATCTGACACTCACAGCACACACAAAATGCACCCCTAACACTCACAGCACCCTCACACACACACACTGCACCCCTGCACACCTGCACCCCTGACACTCACAGCACCCTCACACACACACTGCACCCCTGACACGCACATCACACACCCTCACTCACACACACTGCACCCCTGACATGCACAGCACACACACTGCACCACTGACACTCACAGCACCCTCACACACACACTGCATCCCTGACACGCACATCACACACACACACACACTGCACTCCTGACACTCACAGCACCCTCACTCACACACACTGCATCCCTGACATTCACAGCTTCCTCACATGCATACACTGCACCCTCACAAACAGCTTCCTCACATGCACATAGCACCCTCACGCAAACACGGCACCCACTCACACACAGCACACCCACACTGCATCCATCACACACACAGCACCCTTACCCACATAGCACCCTCACGCAAACCCAGCACCCATCACTCACACACACACTGCACCCCTCTCACACACACTACACCCCTTACACACACACGCACACACACAGAGCACCCTCACACATACTGTGCAATATGCTTTCCTGGCATTTTTGTCTCCTGGTATCCCAACTATGGAGACACCAGAGACAAATTTCAAGCAAACACAGTGCAAGCATGTTATTAAATTTGCTTGCGCTGTGCAGAACAAATACAGGGTATTTTTCTCATGCCAGAGCTCTTCAGCAGAGCTCTGCGCATGGTCTACCCTGGAAGAGCATTGAACCAATATGCTCACTTTGTGATGGGGCGTGCTTGTCATTGGTGATGACAAAACACACCCTATCTGGCCCCATCCCCTTTTTAGTGGGCCGCTGTAATTAAAAAATGCCCAGGCCGAATTTTCTTCCCAGTCCGGCCCTGTGAGTACTTGATACCAGAAGCCATCACCAGACAGGATGTGACATTCACTGTAGTGGCTGTGTGCGCTTTTGGCGTTGTCAACCTGCTGCTGCTCGCCTGTCTGCGCTGTAGCGTAACTTCGGCCTTCCCGCTCACCACCTTATTAGACTTTGCGAGCAGCAGCAGGAGATAGAGGAGTTTCAGCTGCAGCACGCACGGGTCAGTGGCTCTGCACCAGACTTCCCTCCAATTGATCAGAGTTAAAGGATTTCTAAAGAGTCCTGTATTGTTATTTGTCGTCACTACCTTCCCGCGTCGGGAGTAGATCATTGCGCGCCTGCTGCTTTCCTTACATGTGGTAGCCGTTTCTCAGGGTCCCTGTACGGAATGGTACCCTGATTTCCCGTTACCTGTGGTCACCATGGTAGGCGCAGAAACTGGCATCGAAAGTTGATATGGATAACATCCGCATGCAAAGTTGCCGCCACTGGGAGGTGCGATTTGCCCGAGGTTCTCTAGAGTCAACAAAGTTCCTGCGCAACTATAATGTCAACAGCTACTCTGCGGAACAGAGTTGTCTTTTTTTGCGAAAAATTTGTAAACCGAAACGCAGTGTCCCATAGGAATGCATTGAAAACCAAATAATCCGTTCTGGATGTCAGGAAAAAGTCAAAATGAGCTGGCATGGAAACCAACCCACAATGCAGAGCACACAATAAAAGGCATACAAACAACGAAGATCAGCTCCCTACCTTTCCACAGCTTGAGAAATGCAACAAAAAGTCCCCAAACAACTGCAAACAATTTCCAGAATGGCTCCAAAATTCGATGCAAAAGCCGCTCCAACACCTCCACACTCGACGCCACGTGCTACCCACAGGCTCCAGCATGCAGGGGGCGGGGCAGTGCTATAAACCTCACAGGTGCAATGCATCCTGGGGAAACTTGCTTTGTATTGCAAAACAATTTTGTAAACCGAGGCATTATTTTCAATGGATTTTTATTTATAAACCGAAAATTATTTTAACCGAGGCGTTTGTAAACCGAGGTCCCACTGTGTATATAAAAACAGTGTTGGCTACCTCATCCTCCTCCTCCACCGCTGCTTCCTCCTCCACCGCCACGGTCACTGCCTCCTCATCCTATGGGTCACTTAGTATAAACTAGGTACACATTAGCAGAGGCTCGTGAAGGCCTTTTCTCCATGCATCAGGAGTTGAGCATTTCTCCATGCATCAGGACTGCAAGAAATACAACGCAGGCCGCAAATGTTACTTTATTTGTATGTCCCAATATTTTGTGGGCTACCACAATTAAAAAAAAAACAACATAAAATACAGTGTTGGCTACCTCATCCTCCTCCTCCACCGCCTCCTCAACCTATGGGTCACTTAGTATAAACTATGTACACATTAGCAAAGGCTTATGAAGGCTTTTTCTCCATGCATCACGAGTTGAGCTCAGTTTGAACAATGAAAGAGAATACCCTGCACGCCAACCCTCTCTCAAATGGATAATTCTGGTGATCCTCCTGACAGCCATGCTTTAGATTTTGTTTATGTTCTTCCAAAGCTAAAATCAAAGATTCCATCTAGTGCTATTTTATGGCTCCGGCTGTATTTTTCATTTTTATGTATTCTATGTTATTTTAAGTGATTTCAATATCCACATTTGTTTGCAGGGCACTTGCTTTTGCAGCTCTCTACTTCTTTCAAAGGGTTTTTAGAGGGATATTTGTGGCCAAAAGTTCGGGTCCCCATTGACTTCAATGGGGTTCGGGGTCAAGTTCGAGCCCGAACCCGAAAACGCCGGACCCGAACATCCAGGTGTCCGTTCAACTCTATCAACTCTATTAACGAGTTATGTGTCCCCGTTGTTCAAGAATACTTTATTCCTCAAATAATTATTTACTCTTAAACACAAAAAGGCCTCTTAAGTTGGGGGGAGCAATTTCCTTGTTAATATATCAAAGGGCTTCATCTTATTATCCGATATTCAATCTTCAATCTTTACAATATTTACATCTTTTCAGCTTTTTAAAGAGATGTTTGATATATCCATTTCAATGCATTCTATATATTGGAAACCCAAAATCTTATGGTTAATGTCTAATTTATTTTTTATTTTTTCCCATGTAGGTATTATTTGTTTCAGCACAAATGAGGCTGAAAAGTCACACAGTTTGCTGTTCCATACAACACTGGAAAGGTTTTTAGTTTGACATATATCCGATTCTAGCCAATACCAGCCCTCTTTGTGTAATATATCTTTCTGCAGCATTGCAATGTGGGAAATTACCTCAGCTTTGTTATATTTTTCTCTATTTGGTAAACCTAAACCACCTTTATTTATGTTGTCACTCATCGTGTCTTTTTTTTATCCTAGACTTTTTTTCCCTCTCCATACAAAGTTGGCAAAGGAGGACTTCACCATTTTTAGCCATGGTATAGGAATTGTTAATGGCAACATCCTAAAAAGATAAATCCACTTAGGGAGAACAAAGGACCTCAAAGTGTTGACTCTACCCCACCATGATATTTCTAATTGGCACCATTCTTTTAGATCTTTATTAGTGTTTTTCAAAAGATGTATAAAATTTGTTTCCATTATTCTTTCTAAATTTTTGTTTATTCTAATCCCCAAGTAGACAAATTCCTCTGGTTGAGAGAAGTTGAACTTTTTTTGAAGTTTTTCTATTTTACCCAATTCTATATTCTTGTACATTGCTATGGACTTAGACAGATTCAATTTATAATTTGATATCTTACTATATTGTTCGATTTCTGCTATTACTTGTGGTAGAGAATTCTCTGGGTCTGTAATACATAGGAGGGTTTCATCTGCGTATAGTGAGATCTTCAGATCTCCTTTATAGGTGGGGAGTCCCATTATTAATGTATTTTGTCTAATTTTGGATGCAAAAATTTCTACAGTAATAATATACAATATTGACGACAGGGGGCACCCCTGTCTAGTTCCATTTTCTAATCCAAACCAGGAAGAGCATATATTCTGACCTATAGACCTTGCTACTGGTTTCTCATATAAAGTGCCTATCGCATCCAGCATCCATCCCGAGATATTAAAGGCCTTCAGAGCCTTAAACATGAATCCCCAGCTAACCCTGTCAAGCACATTCTCTGCGTCTAATGACAGGATCAGCAGGGGACTCCCTTTCCTGTCGGATGAATCAGTTGAATCTATTAGTCGTCTTATATTATTTCCTGCGTTCCTCTATGGAACAAATCCAATCTGATCTGGATTGATAATTCCAGGCAGAACTATTTTTAATCTCTTTGCAATAATTGAGGCAAAAATCTTGACATCCACATTTATTAAAAAGAGATCGGTCTGTAACTTTTCACGTCATTTGGTGTTTTTCCTGGTTTTAATATTGGCAAAATATTTGCCCTCAACATCTCTTGTGGGAACGAGCCCTTTTTTATAGCACAATTAAAGGTTCTAGCCAGTGGATCCACAATTATATTTTTCATTAATTTATAAAACCTATTACCAAAATCGTCCGGCCCAGGAGTTTTAACGTTAGCCAATTTATTTATTGCTTCCATTACTTCCTCTTTTGTGATGTCTTTATTTAGAACCTCTAGTTGTTCTGAAGATATTTTTGGTAACTCAAGATCTTTTATATATTTGTCAATTGACTCATCCGTGGCACTAAAAGGCAAATTATACACAGTCTTATAGAACTGATTTAAAGGACCACTATAGTGCCAAGAAAACATACTCGTTTTCCTGGCACTATAGTGCCCTGAGGGTGCCCCCACCCTCAGGGACCCCCTCCCGCCCAGCTCTGGAAAGGGGAAAGGGGTTTAAACTTACCTTTTTCCAGCGCTGGGCGGAGAGCTCTCCTCCTTCTCTCCTCCTCCGTTCCGCCCCGTCGGCTGAATGTGCACGCGCGGCAAGAGCTGCGCGCGCATTCAGCCGGTTTTCTCTGAAACTGCTATGTTTATTAAAAAATGGGTTAACCCTAGCTGGACCTGGCACCCAGACCACTTCATTAAGCTGAAGTGGTCTGGGTGCCTAGAGTGGTCCTTTAAAGGCTTCACCTATTTCCTTCAGTGCTCTACATATCTTTTCTTCATATATAATTTTATCTATTTGATTATCTGCTAGGTTTTTTTTTAGTTGATTTGATAGTATTTTATCTGCTCTGTTTTGTCGATAATAATATTTAACTCTTAATTTGATCATTTTTTTTTATGTATATCTTCTGAAATTTTATTTTTAAAGGACCACTATAGTGCCAGGAAAACATACTTGTTTTCCTGGCACTATAGTGCCCTGAGGGGGCCCCCACCCTCAGGGTCCCCCTCCCGCCCAGCTCTGGAAAGGGGTTAAAACTTACTTTTTTCCAGTGCTGGGCGGGGAGCTCTCCTCCTCCGTTCCTCCCATTCGGCTGAATGCGCACGCGCGGCAAGAGCTGCGCGCGCATTCAGCCGGTCGCATAGGAAAGCATTTGCAATGTTTTCCTATGGACGCTTGCGTGCTCTCACTGTGATTTTCACAGTGAGAATCACGCAAGCGCCTCTAGCGGCTGTCAATGAGACAGCCGCTAGAGGAATTGGAGGAAGGATTAACCCATTTATAAACATAGCAGTTACTCTGAAACTGTTCATTAAAAAATGGGTTAACCCTAGAGGGAGTGGTCCTTTAATAGCCTGTTTGATTTTTGCTAATGATATTTGCCCTTCTTTATCTGGATTTATTTTATATTCTTTAGAAACCTGTCACATCCTGTTCCTCGCTGCGGATCATTCTGGCAATGGCTTCTGGGATCCAGTACTCTTTTTGCTGTCCTTGCTTGGTTTTTCTAGTTTTCTGGTCTGTCTGGTTTTCGTTATTGCTGGGTTTCTGAGTTCATTCTTATATTCTGTCCCTGGATTTCCCAGTCTCTTGGATTCACTTAAATGTTTGTTTTATGTTGCCACACCCGTTTGTTTTCCACTTTCCTTTTGTTTCAGCTTGGACCTGCAGCAGTGTTTTATGTCTCTGTCCTTTCTTGCAGGTAAGTGCTATTGTGGTATAGTATGGTTGTTTTAGCATACCTTAGGCAGTGTAGGACCTGCCAGATATGGGGTACATTGGCGTTGTTGGCAGGCTTGTGCAATGTATGATCATATAATGTGACTAAATCCCCATACTTTTCATAATTAGTGCTTAGCTATGTTTCCTCTTGTTTTACCTTGTATCTCTTGTCTTGTTTTACTTTGTCTTATAATCCCAGTCCATGTACAGTCCTGTCCAGTCATGCCCATGTTGAGTTCTTGTTTTCCTCATGTCTTGTGTAGCTCCTGGGAGGTCTGCTTATTACTTGCTCCTAGTTCCTAGGATCCGAATAAGCTGAATCAGGGTTCTGGTATGTGGCTGCACAAACGCTGGTGCTCAACACCAGGGGGCGTGCGGTTACCCAGCACCAGACCCTGCTAATCCACCTCCATACTGTGACTCCTACTCTGAACATCAGGCACTCAGGGGTCCCGGTTTCTGTACCACCACCCGTGACAGTGTCTGGGTCCCGGGCACCGGACTGCCACCCATGACAAAACCTTATATAATTGAATGTATAGATTAGATAACCTCAAGTCTTCTTTTTTTTTTTGCATCCTCTTTTTGATATTTATATAATACCCTCTTATAGTCGCCTTATACGTGCACCAAGTTGTTAAATCTGAGGTATCCGTTGGTCTGTTTTCTTCAAAAAAGTGCACTGACATTTCTTTCAAAAGCTCTTGATTTTCAGTGCTATACAGAATTGACTCATCTAATTTCCAAGTAGTCCTGGGATGGATGAGCTTTCCTTTAAATCCAATATAATAATATTGTGATCTGACCATATCATTGTTTTAATCTCTATATGTTCCACTTTTTCTAATACTTTTGGATCTCCTAGAAAAAAATCTATTCTCGAATATGAATTATGGGGCCATGAGTAGAAAGTATATTCTTTAGATGAGGGATTACAAACCCTCCAGATATCGTAGAAGTTATTTTTTTTTTTACAATGTTGTGAAAAGTTCTAGCATATTTTATACATTTTTAATCTGGAATTGTATTATTGTTACTGTATTTATCCATTGTTGTATCCAAGACACAGTTAAAATCTCCTCCCATAATTACGTAACCCATAGAAACTTTATAGACCTGTTCTAGTATTTGGGAAAGCAGTCCCATCGGATTAATATTAGGCAAGTATACATTTACTAAAGTGTATAATTCACCATTAATTACACAAACTAGAATTATAAACTTACCCTCAGTATCAATATTTTGATGTTTTATTTCTACTTGTACTAATTTTGAAAAACTGATTGCCACACCAGCTTTCTTTTCATCGAGGTGGAGGGTCTGAGAGCAAGAATGGCTTCGGCCCGAAGGTACTGACCACACAAGCGGAGGGACAAGAGACATTCCACGACACCCACACTGTCAACCAAAGGTGAAGGGGAGGGGAGGTAAGGTGAAGGTGAGGAGAGGCGAAGGGGGGAGTAAGAAGAAGGTGGGTATGAAAAACGGGGGGTAAGAAGAACAAGAACACAAGGAGTGTGAAGAACACAAGGAGGGTAAGGGTGAGGAGAAGGGGAGATGAGAAGGGGGGACTGAGAAGAACACAGGGAGGGGGAGGGTGAGGAGGACACAGGGAGGAGAGCGGATAAGAAGAACACAGGGAGGGGGGAGGTGAGGAGAACACAGGGAGGGTGGATGAGAAGAGCACAGGGAGGGTGGGGGAGAGGAGAGACCACTAAGGGGCAGGGGAGAGCTCTAAGGGACAGAAGGGACAGCTCTATAGGACAGGGGGCAAGACAGGGAGCTCTTTCACACTACGCGCACACACACACAATGCATCCCTATACATACACAGAAACACACAATGCATCCCTACACACAGAGAAACACAACATGCTTCCCTTACACACAGAGAAACACACAATGCATCCATTACACACACACAATGCAACCCTTACACACAAAGACAATGCATTCTTTGCACACATACACAGAAACACTCAATGCAAACCCTTACACACACACTGCTTTTCTTACATACACACAGAAACACAATGCATCTCTAACACACACTCAATGCACACACTTACAGACACACACCTTGCATCCCTTATGCATACAAACACAGATTCACGCAATGCATCCCTTACACACAACCAGAAACACACAATACATCCCTTATACACAAATACACACTGCTTCCACTACACACAAACACACTGCATCACCTGCACAAACTGGTATCCCTATACACTACATACCATAAGCACACATATTAGATCCTCTACAATAACACATAACACATCCCCTACACACTCCACTCCCTGTGAGCGAACTCATGGGTGGGTGGAACATTTAAGTGGACTTATGAGTGGGCATACTCACCGTCAGGCCCTGGGGCCCAGATCTTGAGCTGTGTAAGGGGCCTCCAAAAATTGGAGCTGTTTCCAATTCTCCCAGAACATTGAATTTTGTGACCACAGTTGCAAACAGCCTCCAGAGATCCTGTTCTACACCAGACCAGTGGAGCCAAACTGCAGCCCATCATCATCCTCATCTTGTTGTAAGTAGGCAATCTAGTATATTATTAGTGACACTAATCTATAATTTACCTCACATTAAAGGGACACTATAGTCCCCAGAATGACTGCAGCTTAATGAAGTGGTTCTGGTGTCTATAGCCGGTCCCTGCAGGCTTTTTAATGTAAACACACACTGTGGGCAGCACTGGCGTTAGTTCGTATGGCAGCTCATATAGGTGGGGCATTGTGATGTCACATGGGGGGCGGCAAATACAGCTGTTCCCCATGCAGCCACAGGTGCCGCTGTGCTGGGAGATTGTGATTACTCTTCACTTCCTCCCAGCCTACAGAGCAGCGCATGGGAGAGAGAGAGGAGGAGGCATGATTTAATCTTACAACAAATCCAGTAAGCAAATCTTTATAAATTTGGGGAGATCAGCTCTGTTTCCACAGTTTATTGGTGTTTACTCTGATATCTGTATTAATATTGAGGGATTTCTAAGTAGTAACATCAGTGTGTGTCAGCAGGGCCAGCCGTTGGGGTGTGCACGCTGTGCGGTCACGCAGGGTGCCATCACAATAGAGGCGCCCCGTGGACAACACAGCTCACAAGTTGGGGACACCAGCCTATTCAGTTTAAACGATTCGCTGGTGGTCCACTGGTGCGCACCAGCAGTAGGTGCAGTCAGATTATAGCCTCTCCCTCATGGTTCCGACGCTCAGTTAGTGAGTCAGAGCACAGGCTCAGAGAATCTCAGCCTGCGCTGACAACATTGAAAGTCAGAGCCGTGAAGGAGCGGGTATGGCAAAGAGCTACTGATTAGCATAACATCAATATCCGTTATAAAACCAGGAAAAGGTGGGCACCATTGCACTGATTTGGTGGTGCAATGGGCCACTTGACTAGTTTTGTCACCTAGGCCTAAGGCTGCCAGTCCTCCCCTGCTGGTGTCTCGGGGTGATCTTCCTCCCCCCATGAGCCCTTACCTCCCAAGAGTTTCAAGAGGGTGTGAACGACCACATGGGAGAGGGGACTTTTGTTACCCTCCAGATTCCCAGCTTCCACCTCCCCCAAAAGAGTCCCGCGTGAACCCCCCCTCATGAGGCAAGACATTGGTCGTATGACGTGTGGCCCTCGGGTTGTGTGTGAGGGATGTTGCCAAAGCACGTTGGGCAAAAGCCTGGCCCACAGCGTGTAAGGGGAAGCCCATGTACTGTAGCCTGTAGGAGTGAGGTTAAGATCGGGCCCATCCCAACCCTGTCTCGCCATCCCAAACTCTTGGTGGTCATGACAGTATTTGTTTGTTCCCCCGTGACACCCCCTCCCAAGAAAGTAATTACTGTGGCTATTTACATATGCGGAAAGGACATAGGATGACACTACGTCTCCCCTTCCTGGGCAAACCTCCAGGCTCCCCCAGGCATCTGGACTCTGTTGTGTGGGGGGACCTGTGTGTCGATTGGGGATGGTGTGTTACCTTTTGTGGGCGCTGTAAAGGGCCGGTCCCCTTCGTTGTATTAATGTACTCACTCAGCCTGTTCCACACATCCTGGACGTCTCTGTGGCGGTGGCCCCGGCCGTGATCGTCCCCCCGCCTGCGAGGCGCTCGTTGCTGTCTGTGTCCAGACCCTGAGGGGTCCAGGACCCAGTCGGTGAATGGGTCGAGGAGTCTCGGCACTTCGTCAGGCCACCTAGCTACTATCCAGCCATCTTGATGTCTAGCCATTAAAGCGAAGGGGAATCCCCATTTATATGTGATGTTGCGTTCGCAGTGCGGCGGTCACCGGCCTGAGTTCTCGCCTAGCTTCAAGCGTATGTGGAGAGAGATCATTGTAGAGGGACACTTGGGCTCCACGGAAAGGCCATGTGGGCCATTCCTGGGCTTTCTGCATTATTGCATCATTGACTGGAAACTAATGTAGGCAACAGATCATGTCTCTAAGGCCATCCTCCATTGAGTGCGGGTGTAAGGCCCTATGTGCCTGTGACGAAGTACCCTTCGCCACTTGGTCCTGGAGAGGCCTACTTGCCAGCCTCCTCCCCTGTGACTATGACTCTTTCATGTATCTGGCTTTAAAGCCCCTAGTCTACCTTCAGACAGACTATTTATGTAGGCTGCTTTATTTATCTTATGTTTTAGTCACCCTGTACCCATTATAGGTGCAGGGTGTGTGTAATGTAATTGTTTATAGTGTGTGTGTATGTACTGTGTAATGTATTGCCTGCTCTCTTGTATTGCTGAGGTTTGCTACCAACTAGGTGGGTTTGGCTATGGAGCTTGTCTAGTGCCCTCTGTTGGTAGCAACAGCAATATGCACTACCTGAATTGCAAGACTGGTTCATTTGCATATTCGGGTAGATTTGCATATTGCTAATTCTGCAGGCAGGTGAGATATTTACTGTTAAATATTGTCTCCCCCCACCCCTTTAAACATGTGCTATTGTGTTGTGATAAGTCACTGTGTGTTGCTTGATATGGTTTGACTGTTTGTGATTTTATTGAGGTTTCACAACAATGTTATTGTGGTGACCCTATTGGCTGGTCCCAAGGGAAATAAAGGTTTTGACAGTTCTTCTTGATCCCTCTAAACGTAGCCTTGTCTCGTTATTGGAGGGAGCTGTTATAATCACACTGGGGATTGCTATGCTCTGCATGCTCCCCTGAGCTTGAGTCACTTAGCTCTTTTAAGAGCTTGTTCCTGACACGCTCTCCTTGGAGGAGGGGTCTTCACCACACAGTCCTGGATGCTGGAGGTTCATACAGGGTGGAAGGAAGAGTTCTTTCCCACACAGTCCTGGAGGACAGAAGCTGATCCAGGGTGGAAGGAAGACGGCGAGACTCCAGTCAAGATACGGCGGTTGCGGAGTCTGCGGTGGTTGTGGTGTCTGCTGCACTGCTTGGAGTCCTCAGGAAGCGCTAGGAGCATCCCTCAACGGAGGGTACTCAGTCGGAGTACAGGGAGCTCCGTTACAGTGCCCGTTCAAATTCAATCGTTTGTGGTGCATCAGTGTGCAGAATATTATGAAATAGGCCTGTTAGTACCTCTTCCACGTTCTCTCCACCGTCAGCTTAGGGAATCCCTTTTATCCGTATGTTGCACCCGCGGCCTCTATTATCAAGGTCCTCCAGGTTTCTGCGCATATGGAGAATCAGTTATCAGTTCCCCCTGTCTGGCTATGGCAGTGTCCGTTGCATTAATTCTGGCAGAGTGTGTTTCTGAGGTGTGTTCTAAGGTCTGGAAACGACCTGCTTGAGCAGCTACCTCTATGTGGAGCCCCACCATCTCTGCTCGTAGGGCATCTTGAATAGTGGTGGTGAGCGTTAGCAAATCTGCTTTAGTTGCCATAGCAGCCGCCATGGATCTCGGCTCTTTCCCAATCCTTTCCAGTGCTGGTGAGTCTCCCCCCGTCATTGAGGTCGGGTGCTGCGGAGTTGGGCCCGGGCTTTCATTCCCGTCACCATTCCCACGTGGTGGTTGCAAAATGCTTGTGAGTCTCTCGGGGTTTGCGGGTGCTCTGAGCGGCGATTGCGCCCATTTGTCCACACTGGCTTATGAGGGATCGACGATTTTAGAGGTCAGTGCAGCGGAGCTCGGTGATCAAGCGGCCATCTTGGTCGGTGTCCTGGCCACTCCCCCACAAACACCATGCCTTATACATAACCACAAATACACTGCCTAATACCTACACATACACACAAACTGTCTTATACATTTTAATACACACTCCCTAATACATACATACTCAACTATCTTATACATATAAATAAACACACTGCTTAATACATACATACTGTTACAAACTGCCATTTGTAACTGTTATTTTATTTGACAAATTGCCCTGCTTCCCTGTGTTATGGAGAAGCCTAATTGCCAGCCTTCTGCCCCATGACTATGGACCTAGTGTGTATGGCGATTTGACTGTATTTGTGGGATCTGAGCGCTGTTTGGATATATTGAGCGCTCAGATCCAAGCCATCTGGGGATAGGTTGAATGTGGGGGTTCTGTTCAGTTCAATAGGAGTTATGTATTTTTGTGTCTTTTTGTGTCTTTTGCTAACATGTGGTTAATGGAGTCTGCCTCTATCCCTGGATAATTGGATTACTTTCCCCATTGTCCAGGATAGAGGCCTCTGTAAAACCGGTTTGGGCCAGAAAACCATGCTGCCAGCCAGGCCCCAAAAGACACTTTTGCTAACTTTTGAACCCCTTGTCTGATTTGTGCCATTTTTTAATATGTTGCTCCCCTTAATGGATTGATTCCAAATATGTAATTTTTATGAAGATTGGATGTGTAGTTTGGAAGTTATAGTACATGTATAAAAACTGTATTTTTACTGTTCTGTTTTAAAGGACCACTATAGTGCCAGGAAAACATACTCGTTTTCCTGGCACTATAGTGCCCTGAGGGTGCCCCCACCCTCAGGGTCCCCCTCCCGCCCGGCTCTGGAAGGGGAAAGGGGTAAAACTTACCTTTTTCCAGCGCTGGGCGGAGAGCTCTCCTCCTCCTCTCCGCCTCCGTTACGCCCCGCCGGCTGAATGCGCACGCGCGGCAAGAGCTGCGCGCGCATTCAGCCGGTCTCATAGGAAAGCATTTACAATGCTTTCCTATGGACGCTGGCGTGCTCTCACTGTGAAAATCACAGTGAGAAGCACGCAAGCGCCTCTAGTGGCTGTCAATGAGACAGCCACTAGAGGATTAGGGGGAAGGCTTAACCCATTCATAATTATAGCAGTTTCTCTGAAACTGCTATAATTATGAAAAATGGGTTAACCCTAGAAGGACCTGGCACCCAGACCACTTCATTAAGCTGAAGTGGTCTGGGTGCCTAGAGTGGTCCTTTAATTATGTTATGTGATTATCTGAGGGATGGGAATTTCCCCGAATGTATATTGTTCCGATTGGTTATACTGCTAATTATGTGGGTGTCTCCCTTGCATGGGCAGAATCTCATAAAAGCAGAGTGTGTGCCATTAAACATCAGATCTTCTTGACCCTCAATACGTAGCCTTGTCTCGTTATTGGAGGGAACTGCTATATCACACTGGGGATTGCTATGCTCTGCATACTCCCCTGAGCTTTTAATCACTTAGCTCTTTTAAGAGCTGTTCCTGTTACGCTCTCCTGGAGGAGAGGTCTTCCCCACACGGTCCTGGAGGACAGAAGCTGATCCAGGGTGGAAGGAAGACGGCGAGACTCCAGTTAAGCTACGGCGGTTGTGGAGTCTGCGGTGGTTGTGGTGTCGGCTGCAGTGTTTGGAGTCCTCAGGAAGCGCTAGGAGCATCCATCAACGGAGGGTACTCGGTCGGAGTACAGGGAGCTCCGTTACACATACATACTCACACACACAAACTGCCTTAAACATATAAACACACACACCCTGCCTAATACAAAGATTTTAAATATATACACACAGAAACTGCGTTATACATACATGCACACAAACAAACCTAAGCCTAATACACAAAAATCCAAGGAAAGTGAGTAGATGGCACTTCAAACCATTTGCTATACAGAATAAAAAATTATCAATAGAGCTGCACCTTTACAGTTTAAATAAGCTCTATCACACTCTTTCAGTAAAACATAAAAAAAATAAAAGGTGCACACTCTATATCTATATATAATTTTGTAAAAATTTTTTTTTAATTTTAAGCCTAATACACACAAACTGCCAAATACAAACAGCCTCATAAAAACACACAATGCTTAATACTCATACACACTGCCTCCCACACAAATTGCTTTGTAGATGCATACAGTGGTGTTGCCTGGGGGGGACCAGAGGGGCCCTGGCCCCAGGGGAGGGCTGGCAGCCTTAGGCCTGGGGGACAAAACTAGTCAAGTGGCCCATTGCACCACCAAATCAGTTCAACATCCATGCCCACCTTCTCCTGGTTTTATAAGGATATTGATGTTATGCTAATCAGAAGCTCTTTGCCATACCCGCTCCTTCACGGCTCTGACTTTCAATGTTGTCCGAGCGCAGGCTGTAGGGGATGTGTTATATGTTATTGTAGAGGATCTAATATGTGTGCTTATGGTATGTAGTGTATAGGGATACCAGTTTGTGTAGGTGATACAGTGTGTTTGTGTGTAGTGGAAGCAGTGTGTGTTTGTGTATAAGGGATGTATTGTGTGTTTCTGGTTGTGTGTAAGGGATGCATTGTGTGAATCTGTGTTTGTATGCATAAGGGATGCAAGGTGTGTGTCTGTACGTGTGTGTGTGTGCATTGAGTGTGTGTAAGAGATGCATTGTGTTTCTGTGTGAAGGTAAGAAAAGCAGTGTGTGTGTGTGTGTGTGTGTGTGTTTGCATGTGTATGTAAGGGTTTGCATTGTGTGTTTCTGTGTATGTGTGCAAAGGATGCATTGTCTTTGTGTGTAAGGGTTGCATTGTGTGTGTAATGGATGCATTGTGTGTTTCTCTGTGTGTAAGGGAAGCATGTTGTGTTTTTGTGTGTGTAGGGATGCATTGTGTGTTTCTGTGTATATATAGGGATGCATTGTGTGTGTGCACCTAGTGTGAAAGAGCTCCATGTCTTGCCCCCTGTCCTATAGAGCTGTCCCTTAGAGCTCTCCCCTGCCCCTTAGTGGTCTCTCCTCTCCCCCACCCTCCCCTAGCGGTCTCTTCTCACACCCACCCTCCCTGTGCTCTTCTCATCCCCCCCCCTCCACCCTCCCTGTGTTCTCCTCACCCCCACCTCCCTGTGTTCTTCTCTCTTTCTTTCTGTCTTTCTCTCTTTTTTTTTCCTTCTCTCTTTTATTTATTTAATTTTATTTTTATCTTCTCTGGACCTGAGGCTAGACTACAGTACAGACAATCATACAATGACATTGGTTCTCAGGTCCAGGACACTCCCATACTCAAACAATGTAATCCCATATATTTTTCATTATCGCAAAAGAGACCTCGCGGGAATTGTAGGTCCCATATAAAACAAAGAAAGAGAAGTTAAATAGTCCTGTAAATCCATGGTTTTTATATGGGCACGCAGGCCCCAAGCGTCTGAGGACGTGCAGGTGTAATATCAGATCAAATTACTAATATAACAAAAGCAGTTTCTTGCTGGGGTCTCGGGTATCTTTATTTTTTCCCCTTTGCACCCCCTTTTTACCCTTAGTTAGAGATCTTCACGCGTGTTATCTGACTAGAAGCTGTGAGGGGACAGGGAGATGAGTGGGTGTCAGGTCATCAGGGTTGTCGTCGGTGTCACTGGTAATTGTATATACATCGGGCTGTCGCCTGTCAGTTTCCTGCTATGTTTTGTCAAAAACTTAGTTTGTCTGTGAAGTTTGCGGTCACTAGTCATCAGCCAATGTAATCATGTATGATTGATGTGTGTCAGTTGCCTTAGCTTGTAGGTCTTCCACTGTCCGTAGCTCCTTCATCTGGGATAACCATGAGGTCAGTGCTGGAATTACTGTATGCTTCCAGTACTTGTGAGCCATTTCCTGTGTTTTGCTAAAGCTAGAGCAGTTGTGTTTGAGGTAGCACATCGTCTCCCACTCTGTGTCCCCATAAGTGTGTTTAAGAATAGTCAACCATTTCCCAATGAAGCTTGGTTTTTCAGTGGGGGTTTGTGTTTGCAGCTTAGAGTAGAGAAAGGAGATCCCATGTGTCATAGGTCAATACTTTCAAACAGTGTTGGTTCTCGTGACAGTGCCCTGCCCTGGGGAGTGTGGTTATATAGCTCTGTAGCTGTTTGTATTTTAGGAGTAGGAGGAGGGTGGTACTTGCATCACCCCTGAGGTCTGTTAGTTTCTGTAACGGACCGTTTTGCACACAAGGGGTAAAAACCGTTTAGGCGATCGGCCCCCTTTCCAGAGATACAGGCACAGCTACTGCAGAACACCAAACTCCCAAACTGGATACAAAATAGCACTCCAACTCCCGAACTGGAACCTCCCAAATAGCTGCTAGCAGACGAACAGGAAAAGCCGACAATCAGCTTACACTCCTGGCAATCAGTCTCTAACAGCATACAGTGAATCCCCCCAAGAACGAGACAAGGCTCTGTGTTGAGGGTCAAGCAGTGGTCTGAGGTGCTGGCACACCCAGCCTGGTTTTTATTACAGTCTTGCAAATACAGGACTGCCCATTACATAAAGTCACCTTTTATACATAAAACACAGACATTTCACATATCCCCAGATAGCTCAGGTCTGAGCGCACATTATTAAGTGAATGGCGCTCAGACCACACGAATACAGTTTAATCGCCATGGAGCCAAAGTCTTTACAGTCAGTTTCATACAAATGGGCTCCATGGGATTCCTATCTGGGGTATAACACATTCAAACAAATCTACCGAACCCCAGACAGAAAAGCCCGAATGAAGCTTTTCTGCAGGTAAAAAAT